ACGGTATACAAAAACAAACATGTAGATTCATAAGAAACCAACGGAAAGAAATGGCAGAATTGAAGAAATACAATAACATACCAGCGAACGAATAGGAAAGATACCTGACGGAACTGTTTAAAGGAAAGGAAAATAATAACCAACACAATAAAGTACCTGAATTAAGAGACGAAATAGAAATCAGCTTTCAGGAAGTAGAGATGGCCATAAATTCACTCAAAAATAGAAAGTCACCAGGATCAGACGGAATAACCAACGAGCTTCTAAAACACGAAGGAGAAAGTATAACCCTAGAGATGACAAAACTTTTACAAAAACTAATATTGCACTGACATTATACCAGGCGCATGGAAAAATAGATATAATACCAATGTTCAAGAAAGGAGATAAAGAAGACCCCAACAATTATAGAGGTATAAATCTACTGAATGAACACCGCACAGCTGGTAACTGCTGAAGTCCGTTTGAAGATGTCTACCCTCCGGACGCTGGTACTCACGTAAGGCATGGTTGTATATTGCCTGAAGTAAAATCTAATAAAATATTAAACATCATTAATTTTTAACAACAATATGTACAATCTTTGGTAACTTTATTTACTGTATTTTTACCTACAAGTTTGTCCCAACCCTTTTTTCAGTGCGTCACTAATTTTTGACGTCATATAGGATTTTAAGAATGTCGAGAATTATTGCATGACATTTTAGTTAAATCTGACAGTTGCAGGATCGTAATCGGCTAAACGTGAAAAGGTTATTTTTTTTAATGCATAGCAGTTTGTCATAATTCTATTCTATTTCTGTTCTATTTTATACATTCCATGGAAAGTGCTTAATTAGCTAAGATTTGTTTATGGATTTATTATTATTTATTACAAACACTAAGGAATTGGAAGGTTTGTTTATTTAAAATAACGCTTCCTCCTAGAATCTTTTAAGAGTTGACTGCAAGCTAAAAAAAATTACTGACATATTGCAGGCATCAAAGTAAACATTCCTGCGATAAAATAATATCGATTTAAATCAGTCATATTTGGATAAGGAATTTTCTGATAAGTTTGTGTGGCAGCCAATAGTTTAATTTTGTGAAGAGTTGTCATTAAATAGTGGAAATAGTTTAAATAGTGAAGCAGTTGATTCTTGAGTTAATTTACCAGTTCCGATATCCAGATGAAATCGTGTTAATGGAGTTTAGTTAAAAAACAAGTACAGAATGTAAGTTTACCTTCTTTTTTATGAATAACAAAAATGAATATTATATTTCAAACAATCTATAATCCCATTCAGAATCTGATTCTTGAAAATCAATGATTACACTAGATATGTGGCTGGTATCAATTATATCCTACATTTCAAGAAAATGTCGTGGTTCTAAAAAGAACCGTTTTAATACATATAAATATCCATAAAGGTATTAGTTTAAGATATTTCCTCAATATCATTCCGGAATTCACAATCTGATTCGCGAGCGACAGAAAACTGAAATAAAGATAACTCAGCCTCATTTTCTAATTGAAACTAATTTAATAATTTTAATTTTAGTCTTTTTTCATTCTCGGTATATCTCGGAATATTTAAATTATTTTTATGACAATAAATACAGAATTTAATTTTCACTGTAGTTAAAATGTCTGAAAATACTAACTGGAATGGCAATTATCATTTTATCAGTTGTTGTGAAAGTACTGTCACTGTCATTATCAAGATCATCTGTGTCAAATTATATTTATATGCATAATTGATTGGATATTAATTTAGCATATTCTAAACTCCAACCAATTATACATTCGTAAGTAGAATTCGCTTTAATATGCGAATACCCGTAAACGATACCATAGTATTGTGACGATACCTAATTTTCTAATTTCTATGTATAATAATAAGCGACTCACCTTTTTTTCTGTCACTTCTAGCTTAATGCGTTAGAGAGAATTCGAACAACTATGACGCACTGAAAAAAGGGTTTGGGACGGACCGTAATATTGTGGCGGCTCAGGCATGTTAACCTGCTTGTAATCTGATAATGGAATTATTATTCCGAAAACGTTTGTTAATTTGATGTAGTCCTTTTAAGGGTTTTTTTTAAATATGACCACTTACAAAGATTTAAACCTCTTTTTGTGATAAAAATAAAATACGCGATTGGTTGATTGACTTCTTTATTTCAAGAAAAGTTAAAACAAATTTTATAAAAATAGAAGAAGTTACTAATCCCATTTCTGATCACTGTCCAATACTAATCATTGAGGATATTATACTAAGAGAAAATATCAGAATTGACTTAAATATGCACCAATCAAAACATGGGTAGTTTTTATGGTGGTATACTACTAGTGGAGAGCAGCTTTGAAAGTGGTCGTATTGGTTAAGAAAAGAGTGCTACGAAGAATAATTTAGGGTTAACCAACCAAGCCATGAGCAGAAGGTACCTCTGATGTCATTAGCCATACTAAGGAACGGCTCTTGAATCAGGGTTGTTTGTAGAACGTAGTAATACTCATCAGAAAGTTCGTTACCAGCAAAATGGGGATGCCTGGTGAGTATGTGCCCTCAGCGATGGCAAACGTTTCCATTCTAAACCAACTCGAGATTAAAAAAAGCTCTCCACAATATGTCTGCAACATATTCTGCAATTTTTCTGTCACGTAATTCACAGAGGTGACGATCGTTTGGAGAGATTAATTGTTTCTGGGGAACGTTCCAGGGAGAAGATCAAGAGGACGATCACTAACTAGATGGTCCGACCAAATTAAGAATTTAGTTGAAAACTCATTCTGCGAAGCTCTCAGAGGAGCTAGAGACGAATGGAGAAAAATTGTTAGAAATATTGGAAGAAATCACGATCCTCAATAACGGGGAAACGACAGAGAGAGAGAGAGAGAGAGACCACAATTGCGTTGGTTTGTCGATTGTTTTTGTATTCAATAATGGGCCTGATGAAAGTCTTTTAGGTGTACAAGAGTTTTATTTGAAGTATTACCAAATTTTATAGATAACGCACATAGGAGATTAGCTGTTCTTTTCATCTGTCTAGGGTGTTTTTGATGTCAATGTCCCAGTTGAGAGTCCTGCTAAAATGAACTCCCAAAAAGAACACCTAGGTTCTGAATTCGAGATTCTCTCCAAGGAGAGCTTCAGCTGGTTTTGTGCTCGTTCAAATACAGACGCATGTTTTAACGTCCCATGATATGTTCCTGTAGAGAGGGTGCAGTATCGTCAGCACATCGTAATATTGACTCTGATCTATTTAAAGGGTGGGGATGTCACTATTGTAGACTGTGTTCACTGTTGTAGACTGTGTATAATATTGGTACAAGAATTGAAACTTGGAGGACTCTAGCTTGTGGAGTGAATGGTGTGGATAACGTGTTAACGACCTTGACACGGATTGTCGAATTGGAGAGATAGGAATGTATTATTTTTACGAAGAGTATAGGCAGTCCAGTAGGTGGAGCTTTTCAATTAGTCTGTGTGTTAAACTTGATCAAAAGCCTCCTGGACTAGATCCCAGATATCCCAGCATCCCATATATTTAAAGTGAGTGACTCTCCAATGTTTTGTTGATCTCTCTAGGGAAGCTTTGTCATGTAGTTGACGCACAGATAGCATAAATTTGGTCTTAGAGATATTCATTATTAGACCCATTTTTCTTTCTACCGTTTACGCAATCTAAACACTTTTGAAGCCCAGGAGGCTAGCGAATAAAGACTTATTCATCAATGATTTTACCCGAAAGTCTTTTTCTTTGAATTGGGCAAATATTGAAAAATATCGGGTATGGAATGTATCCTTGTATGATGCTTCTTTGAATGTAACATCCATAGGTTAATCTCCCATGCTGTCTGATTCCAATTTAGGGTTTCTATGCTACGTAGATCTTTTTGTCCGCTGTTTCTTTGGAATTGCTATAAAAACTAACTTCAGCCATTCCTCAGATATTTTACCAGTGGTATACACATCATTAAAAAGCTCAAGTAGAATACTGATGTAATCCTCTTGTATGATGTTTAAGAGTTTAGTTAGGATGTTGTCTGGTCTAGCTCCTTTCTTGGTTTATATTGCCTTGTGTATTAAAAGATTTATGCTTCTATACTTGGGATTCTATTATGTTCAATATTTAGCAATAATTTTGTGGTTTCCTAAACCAATACCCATAACTATATTTTAGCATTATTAGCACATTTCAGCGATTTATCCGGTTGTGGTGATTTTCTGTTTTTAAACTGGGTTATTGCTTTACTGATTTCCTCAATTGTAATATTTATATCTTAATTATATTGTATATTTACGCGTTACAATCATCCCCTTAAATACAGGAAATTGCAGCTATTTCATTGATTTCTTTGAATTAATTTAACGTTGTTTCCCTTTCTTGATTTTACGCAGTATACAAATTGCTTCCGTAGCTTTATTCGATTTACTCAGATATTTGTTTCATTCTCTACTCTTTTTAGACGTTACAATGCTTCATTTGTTCACAAATACCAAACTATAAAAATATATTTTGTTTTACTGGTTGTCTTCCTAGTGCTTCCTTAGTTGCAATTTAAATAATGTTTATAAATTTATATAGGACTCATTTATAGTGTCCATATGTTATATTACCGAATATTTTCTTATTTAGATTTAAAATACTTAATTTTATTATCTTTGTTCTCATTTTGACCAATAATAACTTGTGATCACTTCCTACGTTCACTGAATATATAATTTTAGCATATCTCTATTTTCATTTACTACTTAGAGGCAACCAACATTACAAATGTAAAATCTCAGGTATATTTAGCATCTTTATAAAAATAATATATTCCCCAACCACACACAGGCCCATCCTTATATTATCAAGGAATATATACGCAATATGCGTCTATACTCTTTGTTTATATATTCAACACAGTTCTTTTTATTTATTTCCATTCATGAATTAGTACCCTTCTTGTTCTTACTACTTAATTTAATCGAAAGCCGAAATCGATTATATTAATTTCTTTCCTTAGGTAAGGTAAGGTTATCAGAAAATATTTTTGTTAGCCGATGTGTCTCCAAAAAGAATACTATTTGTTTCTACAATATTGATTAAAGCATAAATAATATTTTGTACTCATTACAATGTCCCTTGGTGCTGTACATGTTTTAAATCAACAAAAGAAAATATGCTCAGCAGTTGTGGTATGTTTACATGGATCGGGTAGGTACATGCACATAATATCAAATATTTAGCGAAATGGTTATATTTTCTGAAGCTTTTAATTGTAGTTAATATGTTGGAATTTTCAAACTAATTTTAATTTGACACATAAATAATTTACTTTCATTTTTAAAACCTCACATTTTTCTGTATGATGACATTAGCAATATCATGTCAAAACAATCGAAAATTGTAATTCCTAAATCGATAGCTTAGTTACTAAATACATGGTATAACTGGTTGCCTATATTGGAAATTTATTTTATATTTTTTAGGTGACACTGGTCAGGGATTTTTAGACTGGATGAAATTTCTAGTAGGAGATTTTTCACTACCTCATATTAAATTTTACTTTCCGACAGCTCCCCTTCAGCCTTATACGCCACTTGGTGGAGAGGTAAGCAATTCTGTAACTAGTTTTAACAAAGCGGATTCAATCACTCTGTCCAATTCCCTGAATATTTGTACTAATATATTCATTAAGTAAAACTTCATATTTATCGAGACATAATTTAGATATTCTTTTTATGCTTTAGATGAGCAATGTTTGGTTTGATAGACACAGTATAACACCGGATGTACCAGAACATACCGAAACTTTGGATTCCATTGGCAACGTCATGAAAGAATTTATAAATAAAATAAGCAAAAATAACAATGTTAGTGTAAATAGAATAATTGTAGGTAAGTTTGGTAGTATAAAACTGGCATTATCAATTTCTTTTTGGATTCTTTCACTTCATGTTTCCTCCTATAACTATCTTTTATAATTCAACGACCTATCTACTAAAAAAACCTGATGTGTAGTTTGGCTATTATCCGTAATGAACAGTCATTAAGTATCTACCATATCACTATTTTTTTTAATATTTTAATTATACAATTCCAGGTGGCTTCTCCATGGGAGGAGCGCTAGCATTACATACAGCGTACAGGTTCAATCCCGGTCTAGCTGGTGCTTTTACCATGTCATCCTTCCTGAACAATGGATCTGTTGTACTAAAAGAACCCAAGTCTACAACTACTCCATTGTACATGTTACATGGTGATAGGGACACAATGGTTCCGATTTCGTGGGGTGAAAAAACGTTTCAGGACCTTCAGAAGGTCGGAATAAAGGCCGAATTTCTACCTATTAAAAACACCATGCATGAGTTGAAGAAAAACGAAATTTTACATCTGCTGGAATGGATTCAGAAGATATTGCCAGAAGAACAAGATAGATAATACATACATTTGAGAGTTTTTAGTATAAATAAATACTTTTAAAATTATATTTATTTTATTTTGGCCTCTTGCTATCGTTTACCATATGTTTAGTACATCTTACACCATTTGTATGCTGGTTCTAATGCAGTTCTGTCATGATTTTAAGATAATAATGGTCTTAGAAACGCCACAAAACGATGTAGCACTGTACCAGGTCTAGTTGATGGCTACCATACTTTTTGGAGTCATTTGTTAGTTTCCAAAAAGTGTTAGTCCATGTCCAGGGATACACGGCCTATCTTGGCAGCGTATTTTATTGCTAAGTAATTGCTGTTGATTGGTATATTAACCAATCTACCCATCATCGCCTAGTTCAAAATACACCCAGGAAAAACTGAGATATCGGCCAAAAAGCGAACCGCAAGAAATTTATTGCCGAAGTTTTACGCCAAGAAACAATAGCTAATAGCCATAGCTATTCTGTTGATTGATACATTGACCAATCCCCAAAAATTGCCATATCATTGCATACACACAACACCTAATAATGGAAACATAATACCTAAAGGTATTGATTCTGAAGTCAGCAACAGCTACTTCAGTTACGTGGCGGCACAAAACAGTTGAGGTTGGGAATTACATAAAAAAATATGGATTATGAAATGCTTCAAGTTTTACTGCAAGAATAAAAAGATGACGAGGATTTGTTATTGTATTATTTCTTGAGCAAAAATCCTACATAACTATTGTACTTAACTAGACTGGAAGAAGGCTCTTATGAAACATTGATCGAAAGATTTTATTCACTTTTTGGGCGATCTTGTTCCAAATATTTTCTTTGAGATGTGAATTTTTATAATTCGCATTTTTGCAGTGGAATAAACAGGGTACTTTTTAATAAACTTTTAACCGCGAAATGTTGAACTGTGGAATATGGATTGCTGAGTCAACCAAGTTCAAAATAAAACTGCTGTTAATTTTTAAATAGGAAACTTTCAGATTTATTTGACATTCAACTGGACGAGGCGACTGATAGTAATGATGATGCTCAATTGATATGTTATGTACGGTACATACAATAAACAAATATATGCGAGCATTGTTATTTTGTAGAAAAATATGTGAAAGTTGTAAAGCTACTAATTTATTCGAGATTTTAAAATAATATATGACTGAAAATAATATTAACTGGGATAACTGTGTAGGCGTGTGTACGGATGGTGCCCGAGCGATGTCTGGACAGTATGGAGGACTACAAGCTCTCATCAAAACTAAGGCTACAAGTGTAAAATGGACACATTGTGTCTTACTTAGAGAAGCCTTAGCAGCAAAGAACGTTGCACCTGAATTAGTGTTGTGATGGATAGCATTATTCAAGTAATGAACTACATTAAAACATAACCCGTGAAATTAAGACTGTTTCATAAACTTTGTGAAGGAATGGGGGCCAAGTTAACCTCTTTAATTTATTATTGCAACTCTCGTGGGCTGTCCAAGACAACGTAGGGGAGAGGTGGGTACAGTGACACAGAAAAATTTGAATTTCTGTCATCGCTAGACCATTAATAGGATTTTACTTGCAAATATCAATTTGGACGTGTTATTGTGTTGCAAATACATCATGAATGACTACATTGCTATAAATTAAGAAAACAAATAGATTTAAAAAAAAGTCTGAAACTTTGCATTGAGTCAGTGTTCCCTGGTATGAAGGGTACACTGACACAAAGACATTTTTCAACTGTAATATGTAAGTATTATTATTTAGGACTAATTAAACAATAAAAACGTATCTTTATTATTGATCTATAGAAAAATATTATAAATGCTTGTTGTTTTCTATGAAATCAAGTCCTTTTTAACATTAGGAAAAAAGTGTCGACCCCTGCGAATTTTTGGATGGTCCAAATTTTTTATAATCTGATTGTTGAATATAACACCAATGTCTGTGACACATGGAAACACATAGCATGTGACATTATTTGAATTTTTATGTAAAAAACTGACTTCCATCCTACCAATGGTGTTTATCACCACAATTTTATCAATATAATATTTTTAGATTTCTTTATTGAAATGGGCTTCATATTTGAGTCCCACTAATAAGAAATCATTGATCTTAATGTCGCAAATTTTGGCTGGATCTAATGTCAAATCACATAGGTCTTCATCATCACTATCTGAAAATATTTCACTTCCCTCTGACGTGTCAGAATTATGGAGACTATAAGTTTTACCATCTTCGTCTTCCGACTCAATAACATCATCATTGTTTTTAATGTCTTCTGAGATTATGCTTCTTTTAACTGTTTTCGCTTTTTTGGCTCTATTACTTTCAATTTCGTTTTTCTCTGGAGTGTCAGTAGCAATCATAGTCTTGCCTTTTTTTCTTCTAGTTTTAACCGAAATTGTCAGACTTTTTTTTGGATATTCACGAATAGCTGATGGACTTACAAATGTCAATTTTCTTCCACTTGTGGGTAAAGGTGACAATTTCTGTAATGGAGTTACGTCCTGGTTCTTGATAGAGTTATCTGTGGTACCTCCTGTCGAGGTAGATGGTTTTGGATCAATATTTGGTGAATTAACTAATGGTCGTTCTGTAACTTGGCTTGCGAAATAATCATCATTATTAAATACGTGACGGTCAAAGGGAAATATTCCAGTTTTTTTAAAAGCTGCCGATATATTTACAGGTGTCATAGATCTGGGGTAAGCGAGTCCCACAAATGATGCTACATGGTAGATTGTCACAGGTGTGCCCGGATTAGCTTTTTCCCACGAACTTAAAGCATCGTTGTAAAATATATGAAACGGTTTTAGCAGACCCACATCTAATGGTTGCAACCGATGGGTGCAATGAGGAGGCACAGTCAAAACAGTGACCCCATTATCTTTGCACAGAATGATAGCTTCAAGAGATATATGGCTCTCATGATTGTCCATGATTAATAATGAAGGGTTAGCTTTTGAACTAGAAGTATGTTTAATGAAATGTTTTAAAACTTCAATAAAACATTCTGTGTTCATCCATCCTGCTTTCGTAGCCAAGCCTAACGTCCCACATGGCGCTCCTGCCAACATATGGCTTTTAAAATGGACTCTCGGAAATACCATTACGGGTGGGATTGCACTTCCATTTGCACTTACAATGCAGCATGTGGTAACAAGTGTACCTCTTTCACTGCTTTGAATTTTAGACACTTGTCTAGTGCCTTTTTGGCTAGCACCTTTGTCGAATTGTTTTGAACTGTCAAAGTTCCGGTTTCGTCTAAATTGTAAATTCTGAATCCATTTGAAAAATTTGGATGTCGCTGCAAAACTATTTCCAACTTATTAAAAAATAAGTTTAAATTTTCTTTATTGAATCCTGCTGCTCTTGCTAGACTACATCCCTCTGGAGTTCTTAAGGATATTGTACGATGTCTATGGCGAAATCCTTTATACCACTCGACTGAAGCTTTTTTTTTCCTCCTCCCAATTTTTTGAAATTTTTAATTTATTTGCTTTCGCTAAGTCATATAAAAGTTTGCGACAATCGGTAATTGTTAAACTGTAAAACATTTTTGAACACGTTATGATATAATCAACGAGAGCTTCCTCTAGTTCCAAAGAAAATATTTGGTTTATTTTATAGTTGGGAGCCATTCGGCATTCGGGATCATCTCTGTATTTCTTTACGTATCTGCTTACGGTTTTAAAGCTTAAGTTTTTCTCTCTAGCAGCTTGACGAATTGATATACCACTGATAACTAGATTGACTGCTTCCCTCATAGAATCTTCATTGAATCTACCCACTGTCTTATCCGTTTTCTTCTGACGTACCATCTGTAATGTAAATTCATAATTAACAAAAGCTTCTTAGACCCTAATATGATTTTCCAGCACTCATTTGCTGTCAAGATTTTATGAAATTCACAAGAAGGGTACAGTGACACATCGTGTCACTGTTCCCTATCAATATTCGTGTCACTGTACCCACAATGCTGTTTTATACAAAAAATTGTAAATTTTTTTGTTAATCTACAAAGATTTTAAAGAAATTTTATTGCTATTACTTACATTTTATACGACTTTTTTACGACCCAGAACACAATCCAATAATTCAGGTTTGTTTCCTCGTAGTAAACAACTAAAAACACCCTTGACAAAATACTTCTGCACTAACAAAACACAAACATGCGATTTTCTCCAAACACAACAGATTCTGTCAACTTTTTATAAGACAAGTAGTATTCTTATTATACCAACTGTAAAATTCCACAATATCACCAACTTGCTAACATATTTTCTACTAGGATTTTAAATGTGTCACTGTTCCCGCCTCTCCCCTACTTGCACGTGTATACGAATTAAGAAATTAATTTTACACATGATAATGCACAAAACTTTATTAACTCAGAGTTTATAATAAAATTAGCATACCTCTGTGACATCTTTAACAAATTAAATGATCTTAATCTTAAAGTCGTTGCAGAGAAACAATACTCACATCCTGCAATTGGCAGATAAAATTACTGGGTTTCAGAAGAAGATGATCTTATGGAAGAGAAAATTTGAAGATCAAGAAATTGAGTGCTGTCCTGCGTTACAAAGTATTCTACAAGAAAAATTGATAGAAATCCTTAATCCCTCCGAAAAGTATGTTTACACAACACATGTTATCATTGAGCGAACACTTTGAGAAATTTTCATCCACGCCATCGACACTTTCAACAGAGGAAGAAGAACAACTGACAGAATTGTCCTGTGATTCCAGCCTAAAGCTTCAATACGACGAGGACAAACTATTTGAATTTTGGAGCTCACTTTCTCATGAATATCAAGCCGTCAGCACTGCTGCATTAAAAGTTTTATTACCATTTGCGACTTACTACTTGTACGAAACGTATACTTTGTATAATTTTCTGAATAAGTAATTAAAAACAAGTACAAGTCAAACATAAACTTAGAAAAAGAAATGAGCGTGGCAATTTCCAAATTGAAGCCCTGGTTTCATAAGCTGTGAACATAAATGTTACATAAATAAATATTCTTTTTAATTTTTGTGCCTATGTTTAGATTT